GGTTTATCCACTGGTTTTTTTTAATCAATCCACTAGGCAGGTGCCTAGGGCTAGTTTTGTTAATAATAAAAAAATGAACCACATAGGAAGAGTACATGTAACGGGGGCATGGACCTTACCTTACTAATCCTATTGAGGCAAAGAAAAAGCCTCATCTTCTAGCAAGCATGTAAAAAATAGGAACTTGAAAGAACCAAATATTCTATGATCGCCATAGAGTTTATAACACACTCTACGACGCTATTACTAATGATGATGCTTTGAAAATGATAAACTAAAACCATGTAGGACTTATAGTCTTGCCCCTCATTTATCAAACTTGTGAATTCTTTAATTTGAACTTCCTTAAAATCCTCTTTACCTGTCTTCAAGTAATCTTCAAAATTCTTCATTTCTTCTCGATCTATTGGACCTTATAGATGTGGCAGAGGCAACCCCTTTTTGCTTTGCAGCTCTCATTGGAAGTTGTCTGAGTGTTACTCCTTGATTAGCCTCCTTCATTTTACTATGCTTAGGAGAGAAATCTCCACTTGTGGCTGCTAATTCATCTTCTTCTGCTTCATTATAAATATCAAGACGTAAGTTTAGCTCTAGTTTTTGATTATCTTCTTCTTGTAAAATCATCTGTAATGGTTCCTGCCTCTTTACTCTCTTTGCACTACTTGACTCATGTCTCTTTGCTTTTATCTTTTGTGAAATCGTTTTTGAGCCAGTTGAGTATGCACATCTTTGAGGTTTTGGACTGCCCAAGGTATCCAGTGATGCCCGGTCTTGATCTGAAACCAAAACCTTTGTAGCCATTGCACTTGAGCTTCCAGTAGCATCAACTGCTGCAATTTGCTGTTGCTTGGAATGGCCGAAATCAGGATCATTTATGTCTTCCTGCTCTTCAACTTGATCAGCCCAGGTCTTGCGTGTAACAACAATTGCACTTGTCGCACCTTGTTGATCCTTAGAGCCACTTAACTCGTTTGTGGATGCTTGAGAGGTTGAGACCATAGCTGTGTTTGGTTGTTGATTGTTGCCTGTTGACAGTAGCTGCTGTCCAGAGTCCTCTACGTGCTCACCAAGGAACTCCATCGATTGAGAAGGGACCTCAAAGACTGAAGTGTTTAGTGCGACTAAAGGTGTCGTAGTCTTTGGAGTTGTGTTCATCAACATAGCTACCTGAGCATCCATTACCATTTTAGCTAGTTCAGGATTGGAAAAATGGAACTGTTGTTTTGCACTGCCTGGAGGATTATTTTTTGGATGCTGCATCTCGATTACCTTGTTGTACAGTCGTCCCCTCATCATTCAAAAATAGGCTCATTCATCGAGCATCAAAAGAGTTGGAAACTCTAACGTTTTTTGATGCATTACTCTGATTATATGTTCACTGGAGTATTGACCTTCATGGAGACTGCTTTGCTCGATTAACCAAGCTCCATTCTTCAGATTTGAATTATGCACTGCTTGAACCCCTTCCGTTCTTGTCTTTTATGCAAGCAATCTACTGGTTTCTCTATTGCATCAATCCTCAAAGACTGAAGTGTTAGTGCGACTAAAGTGCGATTAGTCTTTGGAGTTGTGGTTCATCAACATAGCTACCTGAGCAATCCATTATCATTTTAGCATAGTTTCAGGATTGGAAAAATGGAACTGTTGTTTTGCACTGCCTGGAGGATTATTTTTTGATGCTGCATCTCGATTACCTTCTGTACAGTCGGTCCCCTCATCATTCAAAATAGGCTCATTCATCAGAGCATCAAAAGAGTTGGGAAACTCTAACGTTTTTTATGCATTACTCTGATTATTGTTCACTGGAGTTATTGACCTTCCTTGGAGACTGCTTTTGCTCGATTAACCCACTGCCCATTCTTCAGATTTTGAATTGTGCACTTGCTTGAACCCCTTCCAGTTCTTGTCTTTTATGAACGGCATCTAGGGGTTTCTCTATTGCATCAATCCTGTTATGAGCAAGCAGTAGTGCCAATTCCTGCTCACCAGATTTTCCAAGTGCATTCCAAAACACTAGCACCTTGAGTACTACTGTTAGCAGCCGCAGTAGGTGTAACCTGCTGCTCCTTATCCTGCCCTTGGCATTAAGAAATCCCAGCTTCTATAACACCTGATCCTCTAAATAAGTAGGTTCTAAACTTTGCGCAGCTGCTTCAAGATCATCAGGTGTGACAGATCGTAGCACCCTCCTGCACAACAACAGCAGCAACCACTGGGACATTAGAAATCCCAGTGTCATCGGTTGAACCCACAGCAACACAACGGGATTTTTGAAGCCATCAAGTCCTGAGAGAATCCTATCAAGGGCTTCAACAACTGGAAACATGGTGCCAATATGATTTGTTGAATCCAAACCCATTTCACCTGCAAACTGCTCTGCTATTCACACGACCGAATTTGCCCAGCAGCCTGTCCGCTATTTGCTCCATACTACACGGATCACCAGCTTCTCCTCCTTTCTTAGTCGATGTAGGATTGGATATTCCTTCCCCCACCATTGCTTCTATCTCCAATCTTTGTTGCTTCTTAGCATTCAAGAAATCCCTTGCATCTCCTTATGTAACTTTTCAATCACAACTCTTCTTTCATGACTGGTTTTCTCTCTCTCCTCTGCATGACTGTTTTTTCCTCATCTTGAACATTAGCTACTGTCTTTCCATTCAATTTTCGACATGTATTTTCATCATGTCCTTGATGCTTTACAATGGCAGCAATACAATGGTAGATATCATAAACAAACTCCTAAAAAAAACGATCAATGATCTTGCCCGTCTGGTTTTGTCTAGCAAACTGCAAACCTTACCTTCTCAGCCAATCATTATCCCATTAATCGAGGATCAACCCTTCAACCATGCTCCACTAGACGCGATTTAACCTGAAGTCGCTTTATCAGTTGCTATGGCATACAACAGCTGAAGTATGGATGTAAGCTTTTGGCAAACAAGCTATCCAGCGGCAAGTTCTCATGGCAGCGATATCCTATACAACAGCCTTGTCGTCTCCTCTTTACCTAAATATATCAATAGAATGGAATATACTCTAATTGGTATCGCTTGCCATGCGTGATTAAAGTATAAAACGATCTCGTCAAGTGTAGGGTAACTATAAATCGTCAAATGATCAACGCCTATATAATATTTGTCTTGCAGTTGTTACCGATCAAGGCTTGTCCTTTTTAATACCAAAGATTTTCGGCATAAGTTCCTCAAATTGAATAACTCCAGCATGTTTGAAGAATAGTTTCACCACAATAGCTTGATGTAAGTCCCTCCTCCTTTGCAAATTTCCATCGTTCTTCTTTGGTAAACTGAAACAGTTGGTACTCCATGGATAACATTCAACTTGTTTTAGGTTTGTTTGGTTCAAATTCACGGCTGTTTGGTTTGAGATAATCTTGTAGCATATGTAAGTTTATTGCTATGTTTAGTGTTGCTCTCTTTGGTTGTTTGTGTCTCTCCACAGCCAAAAGGCTGGGGAGAGATGGCGCAGCCATGGCAGCCTTAATCACCAAATCACGGTTTAGGGTTTTTTTTTTTATCCACTGGTTTTTATTTTTAAATCCACTAGAAGTGTACCTAGGGCTAGTTTTTATATATATCAAAATAAGATAAAAAATAGAGCACAGTTGCATGTTGTCTGTACAACATGTATGACGATAAGCCATTGACTCATACATAGGTCCTGTTTATTCAACTTTGGTTGAAGTGGCCCAAAATTGACATCACAAAATGAACTAAACTGGAATGAAATGAATAAAATAACTTAAAACTGAGTCTTACTACGATTGTAACCCATATCTGCATTTGAACACAACTGGATGTCCCTGTGCGCTATCAAAGTTGTTCCTTAATTATCTGCGCTCTTCTTGTGCAAGTTTTCATTTATCATTTGAACCCCTTAGATCCCAAAATTGGCTTTCAGTTTGAGGCCTTTCATTGCCCTTGCACCATTGTATTGTGTTATGTGCTCTTGTTTTCACTCTGCACTTGTAACCAGAATATAGTAGTATCATTCTCCTCTTCTGTATTCTTGCAATAGGTCTGTACGAATGTAGGAGATGATCTTGGTAAATTACCTTCATTCTGTCCGTTCAATGTCCTGTCATCATATAATAACTTGCTCCATTGTCATCCTTGTAATTGAATGATTCTGCATATTCCAGTTGATTTCTCAGATTTTCTCTTACATTAAATTTTATTCTGTGGTGTTGTCATTGCTGTGCTCTCCGTGTTAGTATGATAGAGTCCAACTGTGCCCGAGCTGACTCCAATTTTAAGGATGTACTCATACATAGAGAATTTATCTAGCAAAGAAGTTCCCTCGATCCTTATACTTATGCCTATTTTAATTCCTTCCAGTGGAATGAATGCCTAGCATAATACACCAACTGAAATTTTCATTAAAAAATAGTTATAGTTACAGTATCTCTTTGTGCAAAAAACAAACTCTGTTATTAAAACAAGGTTTCACCTATCTCCTCCAAATGGATTTGAGCATGGTGATTAGTTATGACTTCTTCTGAAACTTCTGTGTTCTGCTTTCTGATTGTTGCATTGATTGATTAGAGATCCTTGTTTTATACCAGCTGTGCGTGCCATTGAAGCTTTTGTGTGCTTTCCTTTGTTGCTTCCTTGTTCAAGCTATTTTGGTTGCCTTGCTTTGCCTTAGAAGTATGGTCTGCATTTCTAAGACCCTAAGATTTTTCCTTTCCAAAAAGACCTGACCAATATTGCATTCCTAAGTTTGTATCTGTTTTATTCCCTGAATCTATGTTTGATCCCCTCTTAACTTTCTTCCAGGACTGAGTGTATTGCACTTATAATACCCCACTCGGAAGTCCCTTAAAAGCAGAACTATATATAAGAAATGACCTGCCAAAAAAGAGAACTGTGTTAGTAAAAAAAGATCTCATCATACTCTCTTCCTCATGGATTTGAGTATTCTGAGTAGCTCTGCATTCTCCTAAACACTCCATCTCCATATATTCATCCACCCCTTTCAACCTCAATTCCTTGCAACCTTTCACTCGAATGTATGGACATTGCAACTTATCCTCATTCACGAATTTTCTGCCTTGGAGAATCTAACTGCCAAAAGTCATTGCATTCAATTGTCCCCACATCAAGAGCAAAATTAACAACATTGAGTTTGTTTCTAGCCATAGTGAGAATAGTTATGCATCCTGCATAGTACCTCAGTGACTCAACTATTGCTGTTGTTCTGCTTCTGTGTTAGTTCCTTCAGATATCATCCCTGCCTAAAGCATATTTGATCTCCCCTCATCATCTCTAAATACAGAAACCTATGGCACTTCTCCCTGGTTCCCTTTAGAAGCTCCAATCAGTATTTATTTTAAAGCCAGCCCTCCATTGGTTGTTTCCATATAAACTTGTATAATGTGAGCCTTGGTGTGTAGTTCCCATCATAGTCAGCAGATCTTGCCATTTGTGAGAACCTTTAGACCTGGTTTTCTGAGTGAAACGTAGCTTTTAAAGCAGTAGAGGACCTGTATATTACTCTGCTAAATAACTGATGCCTGATCCCCATACTTTAGACTATTTCTTCTCTGTCCACAGTCTCCCATATAATGCAAGCAGGCAGTGCTTGCATATTGGCTTAAGTTCGAGGAGAGTACTTTTGCAGTCCAACACTTGTTATTGCCTGCTGCATAATCAGACCTTCTAAATCTATGCCCTGCTCTAGAAAGAAAATATATTTCCACACAATGACACAATATTTGAAGTGAAAAACAACATGATCAATGATTCTTCTTTTAGATCTGCAACACCAGCACTAGAGGGCATGAAATATCCAGCCTACCAATAAAGTCAACGAGTGGCAGCTTAGCTTTCCAAACCTTCGCATAAAGAATGCTATTTTAAATGGCGAAACCTTTCACCCAAACATCTTTTATAGGTAACTCTAGGCTCATCTCTCTCCTAATATACTCCTAAGCAGATCTGACTGTGAAAATGGCCTCGAGGTTCCAGCATCCAATAAGGAGTATCAATATCAGCTTCCACAACTGGAGGTCTTTATGCTTTCTACAATGTGGATTGCATACTCTGCAGGTAGGAATTTCCATCAACCTATCCAATTTCCATTCACCATCTTCAACAACATCATATAGACATTGTGAAATAGTGTCATCTATCCCAAACTCAGGAGTACAAACAAAAACAAGCACCCGGGCCTGTCGGTATTATCAAACCAAAAGAGAGATGACCCCATCCTTGGATGCCATTTAATCAGATGTTCAATAGAATCTCTACATTCTTCTTCCTCCAACATGTGAACCTTTCTCTCCAAGGTACAACTAAGCGTATTTAGTTTTTTACAGTACTTCTGGCTCATAAATGAGCTCACAGGCTTGGCTTTGTTCAGAAAATTCCACCACAGCTTGCAATAAGAGTGCTTATCTCTCTCGACTGTGAAATGGCCTCGAGGTTCCAGCATCCAATAAGGAGTATCAATATCAGCTTCCACAACTGGAGGTCTTATGCTTTCTACAATGTGGATTGCATACTCTGCAGGTAGAATTTCCATCAGCCTATCCATATTCCATTCACCATCTTCAACAACATCATAGACATTGTGAATAGTGTCATCTATCCCAAACTCAGGAGGTACAACAAAATACAAAGCGCCCAGGCCTGTCCAGTTATCAAACCAAAAGAGAGATGACCCCATCCTTGGATGCCATTTAATCAGATGTTCAATAGAATCTCTACATTCTAACATCTTCCTCCAAACATGTGAACCTTCTCTCCAAGGTACAACTACAGCATTTAGTTTTTTACAGTACTTCTGGCTCATAAATGAGCTCCACAGGCTTGGCTTTGTTCGAAAATTCCACCACAGCTTGCAAAAGAGTGCTTTGGACACATCATGTAACGACCTAAATCCTATTCCTCCTTCTTCACATGGCATACGTAGAGTATTCCATGATGCCCAATGCCTACTAGAACCCCCAATAGAGCTACTCCAAAAGAATTGAGCAAATAATTTATGGAGTTTGTTAATTACATAACTTGGAGGATTTACAGCTGATAAAAGGTGAATTGGCATACTCTGAAGAACATGTGCAATCAGCACTGCTATACCCCCTATCGATAGTAGCTTGCCTTTCCATGACTGCAACTTATCAAGAACTTTAGTAATAAGTCCTTGGTAGTGATCCATCTTCCTTCTTGAATAAAAAATGGGACATCCCAAATATGTGAAAGGGAAATCTTGCCTCTGAATGCCAGTAATCCCCACCACCTTGTTACTCAATTCAATATCTGTTAAATGATGCATGTATATGGCTGATTTACCCTTGTTTACCTTCTGCCCTGATGCTGCTTCATAAGCATTGAGAATCTGCATCACTAACTGTAGGGAGGTAGCATCAGAAGAGGTGAAAATGATTGTGTCATCTGCATATGCTAGGTGATTAATCTTTGGACTTTACTTAGGTAGGCCAAATCCACAAAAGTAAAGATTCAAGTGCAAAGAATTTAGGCCCCTCGACAGTGCTTCTGCAGCTATAATGAAAAGTGTTGGTCAGAGTGGATCTCCTTGTTTTACCCCCCTTGATGACTTAAAAGATCCATGAGGCTGGCCATTCACTAGTATAGAGTACCAGTTGTTCCCCACAATATCATAAATCATGCCAATGAACCTTTCACAGAATCCAAATCTCCTTAACATCTTAGTCAAAAACAACCATGATAGCCTATCATATGCTTTCATCATGTCAAGCTTAATCACTACATTTGGCCCTACTTTTGTTCTAAGCCTAATGTCTGTGATTTTTTCCTGAGTGAAAAGCACATTTTTGACTATACTTCTTCCTTTAATAAAACCTTCTTGTTCTTCAGAGGTCAAATTAGGAAGTAGATCACCCAATCTGTCATGGATCACTCTTGAAAAAATTTTATTGACAAAGTTGCTCAAACTTATAGGCCTCATATCAGAAAAGCTTACTATCTCTTTTTTCTTGGGCAATAGTACCAGATTGGTATGAGTTATACTCTTTGGGAGTTGCCTACCACAGAAAAATGCACTCACCATCTGGAAGATATCTTCACCAATAATGTCCCAACATGTCTGGTAGAATGCTCATGTATATCCATCTGGACCACCTGCAGATTCTGCATTAAGTCCAAACACTACACTCTTGACCTCTTCTCTTGTGGGCATACTGATCAGCTTTGCATTTTGTTCTCCATTGATTAAACATGGTACATGATCCATAATGCGAAAATCAGTAGGGACCTCAAATTCACAGAATTGTTCTTTAAAAAAATTGACAGCTGCTTCTGCTATTTGTTCCTCCTCCTCTAACCAAATGCCCATGTTGTTTTGTATTCTTTTGACTTGTAACCTTTTCCTTCTCCCATTTACATGAGCATGGAAGAACTTAGTATTCATATCCCCCTCTTTGAACCATGCCATGCCTGCCTTTTGCTTCCAAAATTCCTCTTCAATTGCCAAATATCTGATAAGCTGAGCCTAGACTAACCTCAATCTTTCCCTATTTTGTTGGGTTGGCCTCTCTTCAAACTGTCTTTCATGAACCAGGACAACCTCCTCTAGACTTGCTATCCTTTGAAATATATCCCCATATGTTGTTCTGCTCCAACTAGACAAAGCTTTCTTCAGTTTCTTTAGTTTGTAATTGAAAAGGATGAAAGGATCTGCACAGAAGTCTGCCTTCCAATTAGCTTTAACCACTGCCTTAAAAGGATCATGTTTTACCCAGAAATTTAGAAACCTAAAAGGCTTCTTAATAGGAGTAGCTTCAATGTCAAACTTCAGGTATATTGGACAACGATCTGATCCTATTTTAGGAGTCACTTTATCAATTGCTATGGGCATACTAACAGCTGAAGCTATGGATAGTAATGCCTTTTTGGCAAACAACTCCGGCGGCAAGTTCGGCAGCGATATCCATACAACAGCCTTTGTCATCTCCTCCTTTACACTATAATCAATAGACCATGGAAATACTCTAATTTGGTGCTTCCTTCCATCGTGATTAAAGTAAAGAACTGACCTCGCAAGTGAGGTAACATAATCATCAAATTGATCAACCCTAATGAGTATTTGTCTTGGCGCAAGTTGTCCGATCAAGGCTTGTCCTTTAATACCAAAGATTTTCGGCAGTAAGTTCCTCAAATGTGATAACTCCAGCATGTTTAAAGATAGTTTCACCACAATAGCTTGATGTAGTCCCTCCTCCTTTGCAAATTCCAGTCGTTCTTCTTTGGTAAATTGAACACTTGGTACTCCATGGATAACTTCAACTTGTTTTAGGTTTGTTTGGTTCAAATTCACGGCTGTTTTGGTTTGAGATAATCTTGTAGCATATGTAAGTTTATTGCTATGGTTTAGGGTGCTCTCTTTGGGGTTTTTTTATGTCTCTCCCACAGCCAAAGGCTGGGGAGAGATGGGCGCAGCCATGGCAACCCTAAATCACCAAATCACGGGTTTAGTTTTGTTTTTATCCACTGGTTTTTTTTAAAATCCACTAGGAAAGGTACCTAGGGCTAGTTTTTATATATATCAAAATAGAAAAAATAGAGCACAGTTGCATGTTGTCTTACAGCATGTATGACGATAAGCATTGACTCTACATAGGTCCTATTATCAACTTTGGGTTGAAGTGGCCCAAAATTGACATCACAAAATGAACTAAACTGGAATGAAATGAATAAAACTAACTTAAAAACTAGTCTACTACGATTGTAACCCATATCTGCATTTGAACACAACTGGATGTCCCTGTGCGCTATCAAAAGTTGTTCCTTATTATCTGCCTGCTTCTTGTGCAAGTTTTCATTTATCATTGAACCCCTTAGATCCCAAAATTGGCTTTCAGTTGAGGCCTTCATTGCCCTGCACCATTGTATTGTGTTTAATGTGGCTCTTGTTCTCACCGCTGCACTTGTAACCCATGGATATAGTAGTATCATTTCTCCTCTTCTGTATTTCTTGCATGGTCTGTACGATGTAGGAGATGTCTTGGTAAAATTACCTTCACTCTGTCCGTTCAATGTCCTGTCATCATATAATAACTTGCCTCCATTGTCATCTTTGTAATGATTGATTTTGCATATTCCAGTTGTTTCTAGAATTTTCTCTTGCATTAAATTTTGCTTCTGTGGTGTTGTCATTGCCTGGCTCCCTGTATGTAGTGATAAAGTCCAACTGTGCCCCGAGCTGATCCACTTTAAGGCATGTACTGCATACCATAGAGAATTTATGCAGCAAGAAGTCTCCCTCGATCCTATACTTATGCCTATTTTAATTTCCTTCCAGTGGAATGAATGCCTAGCATTAATACCACCAACTGAAATTTCATTAAAAAATAGGGTATAGTTACAGTATCTTTTCGTGCAAAAAAACAAACTCTGTTAGTAAAACAAGGCTTCACCTTACTCTCCTCCAAATGGATTTGAGCATGGTGATCAGTTATGACTTCTTCTGAAACTTCTGTTGTCCTGCTTTCTGATTGTTGCATTGATTGATTAGAGATCCTTGTTTTATACCAGATGTGCGTGCCATTGAAGCTTTTGTGTGCTTTCCTTTGTTGCTCCTTGTCAAGCCTTATTTGGTTGCCTTGCTTTGCCTTAGAAGTATTGGTCTGCATTTCTAAGACCCTAAAGATTTTTCCTTTCCAAAAGAGCCTGACCAATATTGCATTCCTAAGTTGTATCTGTTTATTCCCTGAATCTATGTTTGATCCCCTCTTTAACTTTCTTCCAGTGGACTGAGTGTATTGCACTAATACCACCACTCGGAAGTCCCTTAAAGAGCAGGACATAGATATATAGAAATGACCTGCAAAAAAGAGAACTGTGTTAGTAAAAAAAGATCTCATCATACTCTCTTCCTCATGGATTTGAGTATTCTGAGTAGCTCTGCATTCTCCTAAACACTCCATCTCCATATATTCATCCACCCCTTTCAACCTCAATTCCTTGCAACCTTCACTCGAATGTATGGACATTGCAACTTATCCTCATTCACGAATTTTCTGCTTTGAGAATCTAACTGCCAAAAGTCATTGCATTCAATTGTCCCCACATCAAGAGCAAAATTAACAACATTGAGTTTGTTTCTAGCCATATGTGAGAATAGTTATGCATCCTGCAGTACCTCAGTGACTCAACTATTGCTGTTGCTTCTGCTTCTGTGTTAGTTCCTTCAGATATCTCCCTGCCTAAAGCATATTTGATCTCCCCCTCATCATCTCTAATACAGAAACCTATGGCACTTCTCCCTGGGTTCCCTTTAGAAGCTCCATCAGTATTTATTTTAAGCCAGCCCTCCATTGGTTGTTTCCATATAACCTTGTGATAATTAAGCCTTGGTGTGTAGTTCTCCATCATAGTCAGCAGATCTTGCCATTTGTGAGGAACCTTTAGACCTGGTTTTCTGAGTTGAACTAGGCTTTGTAAAGCAGTAGAGACCTGGTATATTACTCTGCTAACTGATACCTGATCCCCATACTTTAGACTATTTCTTCTCTTCCACAGCTCCCATATAATGCAAGCAGGCAGTGCTTGCATAATTGGCTTAAGTCGAGGGAGTACTTTTGCAGTCCAACACTTGGTTATTGCCTGCTGCATAATCAGACCTTCTAAATCTATGCCTGCTCTAGAAAGAAAATATTTCCACACAATGACAACAGTATTTGAAGTGAAAAACACATGGATCAATGATTCTTCTTTAGGATCTGCACAACACCAGCACCTAGAGGGCATGAAATATCCCAGCCTACGCATAAAGTCAACGAGTGGCAGCTTAGCTTTCCAAACCTTCCGCATAAAGAATGCTATTTTAAATGGCAAACCTTTCACCCAAATCATTTTATAGGTAACTCTAGGCTCATCTCTCCTCCTAATATACTCCTAAGCAGATCTGACTGTGAAATGGCCTCGAGGTTCCAGCATCCAATAAGGAGTATCAATATCAGCTTCCACAACTGGAGGTCTTATGCTTTCTACAATGTGGATTGCATACTCTGCAGGTAGAATTTCCATCAGCCTATCCATATTCCATTCACCATCTTCAACAACATCATAGACATTGTGAATAGTGTCATCTATCCCAAACTCAGGAGGTACAACAAAATACAAAGCACCCAGGCCTGTCGAGTTATCAAACCAAAAGAGAGATGACCCCATCCTTGGATGCCATTTAATCAGATGTTCAATAGAATCTCTACATTCTAACATCTTCCTCCAAACATGTGAACCTTCTCTCCAAGGTACAACTACAGCATTTAGTTTTTTACAGTACTTCTGGCTCATAAATGAGCTCCACAGGCTTGGCTTTGTTCGAAAATTCCACCACAGCTTGCAAAAGAGTGCTTTGGACACATCATGTAACGACCTAAATCCTATTCCTCCTTCTTCACATGGCATACGTAGAGTATTCCATGATGCCCAATGCCTACTAGAACCCCTAATAGAGCTACTCCAAAAGAATTGAGCAAATAATTTATGGAGTTTGTTAATTACATAACTTGGAGGATTTACAGCTGATAAAAGGTGAATTGGCATACTCTGAAGAACATGTGCAATCAGCACTGCTATACCCCCTATCGATAGTAGCTTGCCTTTCCATGACTGCAACTTATCAAGAACTTTAGTAATAAGTCCTTGGTAGTGATCCATCTTTCTTCTTGAATAAAAAATGGGACATCCCAAATATGTGAAAGGGAAATCTTGCCTCTGAATGCCAGTAATCCCCACCACCTTGTTACTCAATTCAATATCTGTTAAATGATGCATGTATATGGCTGATTTACCCTTGTTTACCTTCTGTCCTGATGCTGCTTCATAAGCATTGAGAATCTGCATCACTAACTGTAGGGAGGTAGCATCAGAAGAGGTGAAAATGATTGTGTCATCTGCATATGCTAGGTGATTAATCTTTGGACTTTACTTAGGTAGGCCAAATCCACAAAAGTAAAGATTCAAGTGCAAGAATTTAGGCCCCTCGACAGTGCTTCTGCAGCAATAATGAAAAGTGTTGGTCAGAGTGGATCTCCTTGTTTTACCCCCCTTGATGACTTAAAAGATCCATGAGGCTGGCCATTCACTAGTATAGAGTACCAGTTGTTCCCCACAATATCATAAATCATGCCAATGAACCTTTCACAGAATCCAAATCTCCTTAACATCTTAGTCAAAAACAACCATGATAGCCTATCATATGCTTTCATCATGTCAAGCTTAATCACTACATTTGGCCCTACTCTTGTTCTAAGCCTAATGTCTGTGATTATTTCCTGAGTGAAAAGCACATTTTCGACTATACTTCTTCCTTTAATAAAACCTTCTTGTTCTTCAGAGGTCAAATTAGGAAGTAGATCAATCAATCTGTCATGGATCACTCTTGAAAAAATGTTATTGACAAAGTTGCTCAAACTTATAGGCCTCATATCAGAAAAGCTTACTATCTCTTTTTTCTTGGGCAATAGTACCAGATTGGTATGAGTTATAGTCTTTTGGAGTTGCCTACCACAGAAAAATGCACTCACCATCTGGAAGATATCTTCACCAATAATGTCCCAACATGTCTGGTAGAATGCTCCTGTATATCCATCTGGACCACCTGCAGATTCTGCATTAAGTCCAAACACTGCACTCTTGACCTCTTCTCTTGTGGGCATACTGATCAGTGTTGCATTTTGTTCTCCATTGATTAAACATGATACATGATCCATAATGCGAAAATCAGTAGGGACCTCAAATTCACAGAATTGTTCTTTAAAAAAATTGACAGCTGCTTCTGCTATTTGTTCCTCCTCCTCTAACCAAATGCCCATGTTGTTTTGTATTCTTTTGACTTGTAACCTTTTCCTTCTCCCATTTACATGAGCATGGAAGAACTTAGTATTCATATCCCCCTCTTTGAACCATGCCATGCCTGCCTTTTGCTTCCAAAATTCCTCTTCAATTGCCAAATATCTGATAAGTTGAGCCTGCACTAACCTCAATCTTTCCCTATTTTGTTGGGTTGGCCTCTCTTCAAACAGTCTTTCATGAACCAGGACAACCTCCTCTAGACTTGCTATCCTTTAAAATATATCCCCATATGTTGTTCTGCTCTAACTAGACAAAGCTTTCTTCAGTTTCTTTAGTTTGTAATTGAAAAGGATGAAAGGATCTGCACAGAAGTCTGCCTGCCAATTAGCTTTAAGCACTGCCTTAAAAGAATCATGTTTTACCCAGAAATTTAGAAACCTAAAAGGCTTCTTAATAGGAGTAGCTTCAATGTCAAACTTCAGGTATATTGGACAACGATCTGATCCTATTTTAGGTAAATGAGTAACTTCTAAACCAGGGAACAACTGCTGAAATTCCATGTTAGCAAAACATCGATCAAGCCTTTTGAAAATCCAATCTTCCTCTGCCCTCCCATTCCACCATGTAAAAATGCTTCCTTTAAAGCCAAGATCTGTTAAGTTACAAGTATTTATACAATGCCTATATTCATCAACTTCATTTAAAGAGACTGGTAAACCTCCAAACTTCTCTTCTTCATCCCATATAACATTAAAATCACCGCCTACCAACCATGAAACTTCCATATCTTGGGACATAGCATACATAGAGTCCCACAATTCAATTCTCTCAATCTCATCACATTTTGCATACACTAATGTAAGCATGAGTTCCACGTGAGTTTCTGTGTGAAATAATCTAAGTGTGAGCTGTTGCACCATATTGTACACAATTGTAACTTCATATACTTCATCAACAAAAGCCCAGATTTTATTGGATATGTTCACCACTGCTGTAGCCAAACCAATTCTCCTTCTATAATTCTCCATTTTCCTTGATTGTTGCATTGGTTCTAAAATCCCTATAAATTCAAAGTGGTATTTTCTGTGCATTGTTACAAGCCTTTCAAATGCTTGCATCGTATTTACAGACCTTACATTCCAAATAATAGCATCCATTATTGATTATTGGATTTAGTTAAGGTCCTTCTAGTTTGCACCCCAGTTGATGGAAGACTAGGGATATCCTTCGACTGCTTTTTCCTTCCTTTATTTGCTGATTTGGCCTTGTCCATGTGCCTAGGAGATAAGTCACCTTATCTTGCAACATTACGAAAATTCTGGGCTATGGACTCTTCATCAAAATCATTACCCAATCTATCTGCATCCTCTTCTGCACCATATTCAATATCTGCAGCTGTTGCCAATTTATTTGACTTCTTCTGCTTAGAAATCAAGTCCCCAGATTCCTTCTGTTGTTTCACCATTGTGTTTTCCACCGGCTCCTTTGTTTCAATCACAATTGCTGTTTGTACATTGGCCACTTGAATGTTCCCTACATCTGTACCGTCTCCACCATCCTTATGTACTGGTATATTATTTCCATCTCCACCCGGATCTCCCATATTAACATCAGTATTTTTAGTATTCATACTATGCACATTAGGATTACCTGTATCAGTCTGGCTCTCATTAGTGTTTTCATTATTCCCTTCTGCAGCATCATCTTTGTTTAGTGTTTTCTCCTCATTGTTCTTAGTAATATTTGCATCCCCATTTACACTTTGTTCTTCATCCTCTAAGTCAAAATCAGAGTCCCTTTCATCTTGCATTCTATCTGGAATTAGCCCTTCTTCTGGATCTTCTTCTATTTGATTAGACCAAAGCTTTCCTCCAGACCGCTGAACTCTTTCACTGCTTTTAAATTCACCATCCCTTGGTACAGCATCAGTAGCATTCACCTTTGCAGACATCTTTGCCAATTCTCCTTCTACTCTAGTATCCTGGGAGGGTATATCTTGACATGAAGTGTTAATGCCAACTGTATTTCCTACAAAAGCTCTCTGAACCCATGCAGCTGTTGATTTAGCATTCCTTACTTCCTCATTTACTGTTTGATTCGTAGGTGCTGTGGGACTGAATATAGGAGCTGTAGGATTCAAACTCTTCCCACTACCATTATGATTCTTCTTAGGGCTGTTATTAGTGATCTTGTTTCCCCTTCTTACTGGAGACACCTTATCTAGTTGGATTACTTCTTGCACCTCATTAATTATTGCTAATTGATTATCCTGCATAATTTCTTGTATCACACCAGCTTTCTCTGTTGATTGGCCTTGATTGAGCACCACATTCTCTACATCTGTATCATCTTCCTCAACTCCCAACAAAGCAAATTTATTTCCTACTTGCACCTGTTGTCTTACACCATTATCAGCTGGAACCAATTCTTTTCCAGTAGTAGATTGTACCCCATTTGGATTGATTGGTTTCTTAGCTCTATTATCTCTTACTTCTTTCCATTGCTCCTTACCCTTACCTGCCATATTACCTACAACCTTTCCACTTGACAAAATCATTAGAGTGGCCTGCTGATTCATATTTGCAGCACCATTACCCTGCTCAACATGTTTTCCTATCACATTATCCACCTGTTGGCCAGTAGCCTTAGACTCCATAAGTTCAGGATGAAGCCTCCAATAGTCGATCATATCATGACCTTGCAATTTGCACTCCTTACAATATTTGGGCAAATAGTCATATTTAATATTTACCCACTCAGTTCTCACATCACCCGTTACTTCATTCACAATACCCATACGCACCTTCTTGGGGAGATCAGCTAGTAAATCAACTAATACCTTCACACGAGCACAGCTAGGCCTTGTTTTATTAATAGCTGCCAAGTCGAGGTGCAATGGTTTCCCAACTGCTGAAGCTAAAGAAAATAAGCACTCCTTGACAAAATAAGTTGGCAACAGATTAGGAAAGGATATCCACGCCATAACCTTTGCGGTCTCTTCTCCAACCTTGAATTTGTGATCATAAATCAAGGTTCTCAATTGATACTTGTTTCCAGATTTGTCCTTCACATAGTAAACACCCTTCGACGAAAAATCCACGAAGTCTTGCCATAACGTCAATCCTATTAATATATGCCTGTCTCGAAGGTAACCAATGTTGCATTCTCCTTTAATACCACATTGAATGGGAATTATTCGACGTAGCTTATTGATCTACGGCCATCCATATGAGAACTTGCAAACTACAGCATATTGTAGACCTTCAATAACGTTCATCCTTTCTACCTCTGATTCAGTAAACTTCACGATAGGTTGTCCATTAATCACATTGGCTCGACGCAATGTAATTGGCTCGATAGAATTTATACGTTCCTGCATGGTACTGTTCAATGTTGTTGGTTTCAGAATTTTCGAGTAGTCTAATGGTTGGGGATTATTGTTTATGGTTGTGGGGGGTTGGGCGCTGGTGGAAGAGGGCTGACCAGCCGGAGAGGAGGGCTGGCCGCCGGCCAAATTGGCCATAGCAGCGCTGAAATTGCTGATCGCCAAAAATCGCAGGAGAGAGAACAGAGCGTTTGGTTGAGAGCGTTTGGGTTTTTTGGGTTTAGGGCTAGTTTTATTAATAATAAAAAAAAAATCCACTGGGTTTTTTTTTTAAATCCACTAGGCAAGGTACCTAGGGCTAGTTTTTATATATATTAAAATAGAAAAAATAGAGCACAGTTGCATGTTGTCTTACAGCATGTATGACGATAAGCATTGACTCTACATAGGTCCTATTATCAACTTTGGGTTGAAGTGACCCAAAATTGACATCACAAAATGAACTAAACTGGAATGAAATGAATAAAACTAACTTAAAAACTAGTCTACTACAATTGTAACCCATATCTGCATTTGAACACAACTGGATGTCCCTGTGCGCTATCAAAAGTTGTTCCTTATTATCTGCCTGCTTCTTGTGCATGTTTTCATTTATCATTGAAACCCTTAGATCCCAAAATTGGCTTTCAGTTGAGCCTTCATTGCCCTGCACCATTGTATTGTGTTTAATGTGGCTCTTGTTCTCACTGTTGCACTTGTAACCCATTGATATAGTAGTATCATTTCTCCTCTTCTGTATTTCTTGCATGGTCTGTACGATGTAGGAGATGTCTTGGTAAAATTACCTTCATTTTGTCCCTTCAATGTCCTGTCATCATATAATAACTTGCCTCCATTGTCATCCTTGTAATGAATGATTCTGCATATTCCAGTTGTTTCCAGAATTTTCTCTTGCATTAAATTTTGCTTCTGTGGTGTTGTCATTGCCTGGCTCCCTGTATGTAGTGATAGAGTCCAACTGTGCCCCGAGCTGATCCACTTTAAGGCATGTACTGCATACCATAGAGAATTTATGCAGCAAAGAAGTCTCCCTCGATCCCATACTTATGCCTATTTTAATTTCCTTCCAGTGGAATGAATGCCTAGCATTAATACCACCAACTGAAATTTCGTTAAAAAATAGGGTATAGTTACAGTATCTTTTCCTGCAAAGAAACAAACTCTGTTAGTAAAACAAGGTTTCACCTTACTCTCCTCCAAATGGATTTGAGCATGGTGATCAGTTATGACTTCTTCTGAAACTTCTGTTGTCCTGCTTTCTGATTGTTGCATTGATTGATTAGAGATGCTTGTGTTATACCAGATGTGCGTGCCATTGAAGCTTTTGTGTGCTTTCCTTTGTTGCTCCTTGTCAAGCCTTATTTGGTTGCCTTGCTTTGCCTTTGAAGTATTGGTCTGCATTTCTAAGACCCTAAAGATTTTTCCTTTCCAAAAGAGCCTGACCAATATTGCATTCCTAAGTTCTATCTGTTTCTTCCCTGAATCTATGTTTGATCCCCTCTTTAACTTTCTTCCAGTGGACTGAGTGTATTGCACTAATACCACCACTTCCAGTGGACTGAGCAGAACATAGATATATAGAAAATGACCTGCAAAAAAGAGAACTGTGTTAGTAAAAAAAGATCTCATCATACTCTCCTCCTCAGGGATTTGAGTATTCTGAGTAGCTCTGCATTCTCCTAAACACTCCATCTCCATATATTCATCCACCCCTTTCAACCTCAGTTCCTTGCAACCTTCACTCGAATATATGGACATTGTAACTTATCCTCATTCACCAATTTTCTTCCTTGAGAATCTAACTGCCAAAAGTCATTGCATTCAATTGTCCCCACATCAAGAGCATAATTGGCCAAGTGATCTGCCAACCTATTCCCTTCTCTATATATGTGAGTGATCTGGAATATAAATCCCTCTTTCAGCTGTAGTATTTCATCAATCTGATCAGTAATGCACCATGGTGGTTTCCATATACCCTTTACTATGTTCTTTAACAACATTGAATCTGTTTCTAGCCATATGTGAGAATAGTTATGCATCCTGCAGTACCTCATGACTCAACTATTGTTGTTGCTTCTGCTTCTGTGTTAGTTCCTCCAGATATCTCCCTGCCTAAAGCATATTTGATCTCCCCCTCATCATCTCTAATACAGAAACCTATGGCATTTCTCCCCGGGTTCCCTTTAGAAGCTCCATCAATATTTATTTTATGCCAGCCCTCCATTGGTTGTTTCCATATAACCTTGTGATAATTAAGCCTTGGTGTGTAGTTCTCCATCATAGTCAGCAGATCTTGCCATTTGTGAGGAACCTTTAGACCTAGTTTTTTGAGTTGAACTAGGCTTTGTAAAGCAGTAGAGACCTGGTATATTACTCTGCTAACTGATACCTTCTCCCTATACTTTAGACTATTTCTTCTCTTCCACAGCTCCCATATAATGCAAGCAGGCAGTGGTTGCATAATTGTCTTAAGTCAAGGGAGTACTTTTGCAGTCCAGCACTTGGTTATTGCCTGCTGCATAATCAGACCTTCTAAATCTATGCCTGCTCAAGAAAGAAAATATTTCCACACAATGACAACAGTATTTGAAGTGAAAAACACATGGATCAATGATTCTTCTTTAGGATCTGCACAACACAGCACCTAGAGGGCATGAAATATCCCAGCCTACGCATAAAGTCATCGAGTGGCAGCTTACCTTTCCAAACCTTCCACATAAAGAATGCTATTTTAAATGGAAAACCTTTCACCCAAATCATTTTTTAGGCAAC